TCGGAATCGGCTGCCTCTCAATGACAAGGTCTTCATATGGGGCTTGGCAGATTTGCCAGATTGTGAACGTTGTGGCTTTGGTTTCGAAGAAACAGCTTCGTTAGGCTTCTACCATTGTCCCCGAGTCCGCCCCTTATTGGACCATGTCGGCGAGTTGACGGCTCGTCTCACTCCCGAAAAGCTCGTGCTCATTGATCGCGTATATGCGTGACAATGTATCGCTCCCATATTCTGGGGTGAAACGAATGGTGTTTCTGACGCTGCTGGCCACGGCCCGAATGGTGATTTGGACGACGCGACAGGAGGAAGTCTTGTGAGGCAACCGTCTTTCTCATCAGGATCTGATCCGATCCTTTGAGCATCAGCTCAAGATGAAGATTAGAACTGATAGAAAACGCTTGCATTCGACAGTCTTTAGCGAAAAGTGGGTGACTGAGGCGAGCTTGGTTCGTTTGAACGAAGCTAGTCTTGATTTTCTCTTTTAGGTCAACCTACGTCACATCGGGGTGGTTTCTGTGGAGCCCCCCGTTAGGTTAGACAAGCCTTGTATACCTAGTTAATGTGAGTAAATATTGTTCCTGGCCTGTTCCCGGCAGCCTCTTTGGTTATGATCCAAGTCGAGATTCCCAACCTCCCCAGTTTGTTTTGGCCCCTTTTGATCTCGACTGGGTCAGCTTTTTAATTCTCATGTCCGTCTTTATTTTCACTTTTACCACTCCCTTAGCGAGAGAACTTCTTGATTTTGTCCAATGGGCAGAATACAGCGGCCTCTCATTTTGAGGGTTGAACGGGCCCTACTAGCATCAGTTACGTTTAGTTCACTTTGTGTCTATGTTTATTTTGTTTTGGGGTTCATTTCCTCTCCTCTCATTTTTCATCATAGAATTTTAAATATAATTAGTTATCATCATAAAATTTTTATGGCATGGGGTGCGTTTTGTAGGTCTCCCTTGAGAGCATGCGGTATTATGGTGTATGGAGGACTGTTTGCTGATGGACGAGTATTTTTTTTTTTTTTGTGAATGGGTAAATTGTAATGAGCGAATGGGTCATGAATTGGATTAGCTCGGTATAAGATAGTTAGTGAAAACCAACCTCAGCCCCCCCCTTTTTTCGGCCTTGTGCCAGAATTGTATTTTTTTTATCACCGAAAAAGATTTCACTGTGCCACCGACGAGTCAACACGGAGAAATTTAGCTCCGTAAAACTCAACCAGCAGCCGAAAATGGAGTCCGAAAATGGAGCAGCCAAGAATACAACATAGGAACGAAGATGTCCCAACAGTTGCAGAAATGCATCCGAAAACGGAATCCCTCTTCAACCTGAAGACGAATATATTCCGACGTTACAACAAAAATGAGAAGAACTGTTAACCGAACGAACTTTACTGCCACCAGTTAAGTCCCCGCAAAAAAAAAAAAAACTGTTTTTTTTTTTTTTGCAACGATTTTTAAACCCAATTTTTCTATCTTCCCTTTTTCCTTTCTTTTTTTCCACTCAACTTTGCTGTTGTCCTGTTTTCTCTCGCCGTATCGCGTCAATGATCTTTTTACCCTTATTTTCTACAGAGGACAAATTATTGGTCACAGAAATTCAAAGGATATAAAAAACTGCATAACTTTATGCTGTCTTGTTGTTAGATTTCAAAATGCATCATTTCAATATAAACAGGAAGATTGGGAATTTATTTTCATATATATTTTTAATTACTGATTAATTAAAAAGGTCAACAACGAATTGTTTTTAAGGTTTACATTTTTCGCACGATAACAAACATTTTCATATTTCATGAAATAAATGCAAATGACGATTGGAAACATTAAGACAGCAAATAGGAGAAGAATTCTTTATCTTGAATATTATGAAAAAATTGTAAGGGTTTTTGGACATCTGAGCAATCTTATGACCCCCACTTCCGAAAAGGACAGCACCTTTAACAGAATTAGAGGGGGTTTCAGATACACGGACGGACAGACATTTGCCGTTTATCTATTTAGAAAATGAAAGAAAACAGACAATACATAGATATTCAATGTGATAATACTATTTTTCCTGTTGTTTTTCCCATGATCCTCCAAATTGAAATTCTACTTCTCTTTCCACCCAAACAACGCGTACTTTCTGATTTTTACTTTCAATGTGGTAAGGCGTTTATTACACCGAGTAAATAATTATAAACTCCCTAACATCTATATATACAAAAATAGGCGTAAAAATGACAAACAGCAAAACGTGGAAATAACAAAACGCTTATTATTTATTATTTGGTTCTTATGACGTGTTGGAGACACGAGAGACAGTAATACTGAGTGTTATGAAGTAGAGAGTAAATCTCTAAAATAGACGTTGTCAGATCCACAGATGACAGCTCGACTGGCATTCACTGTGGCGTTCTACTTTTATAGCAGTATCTCATTTAGATACAATACTACACCTCCCTGAATCGAAAAGGCCTTATACCCTTCGTTGATCTTTGATTTCTTCTAATTATTCTTGGGAATCTAAACTGTCTTTCTTGGTGTCTATATTGATTCATTCTTATATGTTTGAGTTCATTTTCCTCTTCCGACTCCTCGTCAGATTTTTGTTCATTATCGTCCATAGATTGTTCAGTTTCACTACTGAATTAATTGCCCCCTTCCTCCCCTATTCTTCACCTTCAGATTCTTTGTCCTCTTCTGTATCATAGGATTCCATTCGGCTTCTAATTTATCCACATTTTCCAGTACATTTTGTCCATTTTTCGTTAGTTTTGCTGCGTTGTGTCCTTTCTTTACTACAAAGTTCACCTTCCCTGGATTAGATTCTTTGTCTTTTTTATACCCTACACTTTCACTTGTTGAAAATGACATTGTTATGAGAGCTCTAGTCTGTCTACCCATTAATGGGGAGGGACCTTTTAGTCTGTCGGCGTGTGGAATTGTCATATAGCTTAACAGTAATCTTGGTAAGTAACCCTCTATATTATCATCTGTTGGGGAAAATGCTTTTAGTCCCATTTTCAGTCTGCATCATTCTTTATGCGGTTTCATTTGATTGTGGATCTTAGGGTGAGGTTTTATACAGAACGCATCCAATGATCTTTAGCCACGAGCACAAACTTTCCTCACATAATTCTGATGCGTTATGTAAGGCCAAAGTTTTAGGCACCCCATTCCTTGAAAATATTGTTCATAATATTTGTTTTACAGTCTTGGCTTTTTCTGTCAGCAACCTTAATTACTTCGGGCCATCCCGAAAATGAGTTCATCTAAAATTTAAAAAAAAGCCCCAAATGTCTGTATCTGTATTTTCAGTCTGAAGATTTAGATTCCATACCATTTCTATTCTCATTTTCTATCTGCACACACACATTTGAAATTACCTTTTCTTTTACAGTTTAAACATAATTTTCCTAGGGCTGTACTTTTGTTTTTGTTTCTTTACTATTCTTTGTCGCAATATTTGCACTTAATTGGTATTTTAGTTGTATTGTATGTTTCCACATTGTTTTTAAAATTATTATATTCATTAATGAATTCTAATTTCTGCAAGAATTCAAGACTTGATTCTAAATTCATATCATTTGCTTGTAGGTGGTTCTTGGATCTTCTGCTTGTATGTAACGTCATCATATATGCCTTCAATTAGTTTTCTATAGACATTTCTTTCGAACCCAGATTTTTCAAATTCGCCATATCTTAATGCTTCTTTCAATCTGTGTAAAGACGGTATCACGGTTTCATTTGGGTTCTATTTTTTTCTCAGAAAATTTTGTTCTCTCTGCAATAACCATTTTTTTTTGTTCTTTTGTTCGCATGTTTATTTTTGTATAGTATTTTTGAAATTTCCTCATATGTTAAATCTTCCAGTATTTTGGGCTACACCATACTGGATATTTTTATGACCTTAAATCGTGCCAAAGTCAAAAATTTCATTCTCCCCTCTGGAGGCTTTCTTGTCTTTCAGTTTTTTACCCTATCCAACACTGTGAAACATCAAATCCAAGTTTCTACATGCTCCAGTTCATCCAACACGCTTAGGGATCCTATCGGTGACGCCATATTGTTATGAAATGTTTATGATCCCTGATGGAACCTCTGTACTGTGGTGAGACGACCAAACTCTACACACTGACTTTCAAAGCACTGCTATAAAAAACGGAAGTGTGCGAGAACGCTATAACGTATGTATGCGCGACAGACACCAATGTCAATCTGTGCGATGTAGCTTCACTTTGCATACTTCAGCTCCGTTATCATAGCAACAGTCCCAATACTTTTTGAACAGACCTCGTATTAGCCTAGATTAACTCCTTCCCAGAATATTCCCAGGTAGATTTTAGTCCAGTAGTTCCCAAAATAGTTGGTATTGCCACACCCTTGCGCGTCAAAACACAACCCTAACGCCACCCCTAGTGTATAACCAAGCATTGATTGGATTTTATTGATGCTAGCATTGCATATCAATTGAGTATATTATTGATTGATTGTTGTTTATAGAAAAAGTCTATAAAAATTGAAGTGGGGTCATCATATTTCCGGTTCCTTTATTCTTAGCATTATGGGAAAATGTATTCCTGTTTCTTTTTCTGCTATTCGTTATTAATATTTTATTTGTCGATTTTCTTTCATTTTACCGTGGTAATAATAGCAAAACCGGGTATAAATAGTCTGAGGGTATAGGTTAGCCTAGGCTATTTTATGTCTTGTGGACGATAGAGATTAGTACTGATCATTCTCGGATGTTATTCCAGATTGGGTTAAACCAGTGACTTCCAAATTGGGCGGTATTAACCCCACTGAGGGCCGTGAGAACATCAAGGTGAGCTATGAGAAACAGCCAGAGACTGACAGTGGACAGCCAGAGGGTGGCAGTGGCACATCTGAACCATAACATTCATCAATCACACTTTATAGCTGGAGTGTACCTTGCTTTCACTTTACAGTGTATCCAATCTATATAACAATTATTATAGAAAATACTAAGATACTCAACCAGGCTTACAGCCACATAAATTCAAAACACCAGTTCCCGTACAATCACAGAAGTTAAGCAAGGTCGAGTCTGGTTAGTAAACTAGATGGGTGACCGCTTGTGAATACCAGGTGCTCTAAACTTGCATGGGCGAATGCTGTAATGGATAACGGCTCGGAATTGTTAATGGTAGACCCGAGTTCCAATTCCTGTTGGGTTCGTTATATTCACTTACACACAAATATCCTTGGATATTTTATGAACCGCCTTTCCCCTTTAGTTATGGGTCACGGGAAGAGCCAACGAGCAGGCATGCGTCCCCTTGAAGTTCTTTCTCCTGCAGCCTCCTAGAATCGATGCCACCACGTCCGTCACCCCTCCTCTAATAAAACGAATAAGAAAAAGAACCCGTCTTTCGTGAATACCACCTATGAAATGGCGTGGGGCACCAAATGGCTGCAGACAGTGACGACACGAAACACAACATTCGGCCGTTTTATAACCAGGTTAATTAGGCTAGGTTAATTTATACCAGCAGGTATAAAATATACACGAGGATACTATGAACTATATGGTTACACGTACATAGAGAATGCTTGTGTGCATGTTATTTCAATAATTTAGTGTGCATATTGGTAGGCCTGGATGTTCATTGGTTTCGGTGAAAATGATTGAATAGTGGTCATTTTTATGAGTTCATATCAGCCATTATTAGCAGTTTACCGAATGAAGTCCTGGCATAAAATTCTAGTTAAGAACAACATCTGTTGATGTTATAGAATGTAAAAGTTGCGGGTTTATGTGTATTTTATTAGTGGGTGCGTGTTCATACGAAAAAAATTCAAAAAGAAGCGTAAAGAAATTACCGTTTATTCTCCTTTTTATATAAAATGTAGTGAAACAAAGTTCTCAGTGTCTCTTGGGTGTGTTCATTTTCATTTTAGTACATAATTTAATGTAAGTAAGTATAAGCATCCCCTGTCTCTCTTTCCCTCTATTCGACCCGTGAGTATCAGATTCTCCAGGCCCTCTTTCCTCATAATATGTCCCAGAAACTTCAGCTGCCTCTTCCTGATGTTAAGTATAAGCCTCCCCCTTATTTGCATCCTCTCTAAGACCTCATAGTTCCTCACACGCTAGGTCTATGATATCCTTAGCATCTTTCTGTAGAACCACATCTCTGTCACCTCGAGTCTCTCCTTCATCTTTGAGGAAATCGTCCAACACTCGTAGCCGTAAAGAAGGACAGATGTCACGTAGCAGCTCAGCATTCTTCTCTTTGTTACCAAAGAAACCCTCCTGTCTTTTGCTCAGCTTTTGGAATGTGTCATTGGCCATCCCAATACGTCTACGGATCTCAGTGTCGCACTTACCGTCCTCTGTCAAGACGCATCGCAGATATTTAAACTTCCGCGTCTCCTTGATTCTAGTGTTCCCGACCTGCAAATCGCATTTCGGGCTGTTATGTTTAGTCCTTTCTTCTCACTCTCAGTCGCTACCTTCTGTAGGAGATTTTGTAATTTCTTTTCCGTGTCTGCTGAGAGTACTGTGTCATCTGCGTGTATTATGTTGTTAAGATTGTGGCCGCCAATGTTAGATATACAGAAATAAGGTTAAGTTTGATTTTTGTGTCGGTTAATACATGCGATACTGCTTACCGTACTGTTGAATCCTTATACCAGTGTTATAGTTTCAAATACTGATTAGCGTTGATCTTGACAGGTTTATCCCAACTCCATAAATAGCTTCTCTCAAAACGTTATCTTAATCTTGAAACACTGAGTTTGTTCTACTTTCAAGGACACAGAATCGCCTTAAACTTAAACATATAACTCTCGTCACCAACCTTAGATTTAAAGGACGCAGGTTGATTTTTGGAGAGATTTATAGGGAAAAATATGTATATGAGCAGCAAAATACGATACCTTTCGTGTTTGCTAATCTCTTATTAAATGTTTTCAAAGTTTGTAAAGGGTAATCCATTCTCAGATAAAATCAATGCTGATATTGCTTAAGTTTGGTAATCAAGCGAGAAATGATACTCTAAGGTAGCAAAGAGACTATACTTGAGATATTCTTCTTTTACGGTGTCCGTTCAGGACGTAGGCGATCAAAGCCCTCACAATGCCCTGTCCTTTGTAGCTCTTCATAAATTTTGGCTTTTCATTTCTCCTAAAGTCTATAAAGGTATAAGTTGTTTTCCTCTGTCCTTCTCACCTTCAATCTGTTCTGTGAGTATCAGATTTTCCAAGCCCTCTTTCCTCATTATGTATCCTGGTAATTTCAGTTCTTTCTTCCTGATTGTTGAAACTTGACTAATGCATGGAATAATAATACAACACAAAATGTACTTAGAACAAAATGTATTGAAACAAGAAAGTGTACACAATATTTACATGTAGTCTTTTGTATATCCTTGGGAAGACCGTTCCTGGAGAATGTGTTGACTTAGTCGCAGTCGGGCAGAGTCTCTGGATTGAATCTCTTGATTCCTCCTCTCATCTTCCCGGTACCAACCATATTTATATGGTCGGTACTCCACTATGCAAATTACGTGGATCCTACCACAACACTGATGTTAAGTATAAATGTCCGTTTGTTTCCGTTTTCTCTAAAACTTAGACCTTGCTCACATGTTAGGTCATAGTATTCTCAGCATCCTTCTGTAGAACCACATTTCTGTTGCTTCAAGTTTCTGCGAAGAGATAGTACAGCGTTCACTGCTATATTGGAAGACTGATATTGCATAACAGTTCAGTACTCTTTTCTTTGTTTCTAACAGAATGTTAGTGAGGAGAAATGAGAAAAGACGGCTTGGAAAATTTGATACTCACAAACTGCGCATAACCTACCTAACGAGCTTGTGTAAATGGATGGCAGAAAAAGATTTACGAGAGATAGCAAAAGAGAAACTTTACTAAGAGCTACAAAGGACAGAAAATTGTAGAGTGTGTCATGACCACCAACGTCCTGAAGGGACACGGCATATAGAAGAAAAACAAGAAAAATTTCGAAACGTCATTAATAGCGTGATTGAATAGCGTATATTCCTCTAAGGCTATTTGCTAATATTATATTCTGCTGTTTAGAAAAGAAGCTGTTTTACCGACCAGATCTAGCCGGTTCTTTCTAGAAATGGTTAAATTAAACAGACCGAACTTTGAAACCTGCCGTATTGACACGTCAAAAAGAATAATGAACAACAGTGTCGACTTCTGGGAGATTATTCATTAGCTTATTAGTTCTGCTGACCCAATTGTAGGTTCAAAAGACTATTTTTTGCGAGAAAGTCAATTAACTTTTCTTTTCTGTTTTTATTTGATCGAGTCCACCCCAAGCAAAGTAGTAAAGGGACACGAAGCGTTAATTGGTGTGGGAGAATTAGAAACAGAGACATTGTTAAGGAACGAGAATAAAAGAAGAGTAATCAGGAGGACAGCAGATAGCAATTGACATTGCATTTAATTTTTTGCAAATTGAAGTTGGCTGAAAAAGCATGGAGCTGAAATGGAGTTCCACAAACGAAAAGTGCGAGTAAAGAAACTGTTAGCATAGAATTGACGGTTGCATCTAGCCAACTCAACTTTAAATTGAGATCTCGTCACCAGTCTAGTACTGCACTTCAAAGAGGTTTAAACACCATAGCGAAAAGCTCACCCAAACAATTACCATGAAAGTATTTCTAGAAAAGGTGCAGGAGGCAACCTTGTCGCGGTGGGAAGGAGATTGAAGCTGAGATGCCAGAACAGAGCCAATAATGTTGCTAGTTCTTTGGATTTTATCAAGGAGTTCCAGATAAATAGCAGGAGCACTGAACCATATGTGGCAGTAATATTCTAAGCATGGGCAAATGATTGAGTTATAGATATGTCAAATAGATTCTGGAGAAACAAATTATAACATTATTATGTATTTTATATGATGTTAACTGTTCACTCTGGTGCTACTTTGTGTCTTTATGCATGAACAAACGTCGATTTATACTTAGATAACTAGCAAAAATAACTGTAAAAAAATGCCATTGTATTATAAGCTTTGTTTTTATTTTCGCTAATAATGCTCAGTTTTATTCATTGTTGTCTACAGATAAGCAATGCCTCATTTGTCTTTTTTAATGTTTTCTGTCATTCCGAGAATACAATTTTTATTTCAATTAATCCTTTTTCTTTTTTTTTATCAACTTAGAACACAGAATATCCAATCATTATCATTTGTTTTGTATTACTTAACTGACAGTGTAAATGGTTGGATTGTAAACATTTCAAACGGCATAAAAACAGATTGCACGTACAGACAATGCACAGATGCATTTCTATTTAACGGTGTAGATGAAAAGAAAAGAGCAAGAACACACACATTAAAATTGATTTGTCTTGATTCATTCATTAATCTATCGATCTTATCAAGCGAAGCTTATAAGCACATTTCATTTTCGACTTCCTAAATACTCGCCTTCTTAGAAATTATGTCATCGGGATATTTTACGAACATAAAGACGACTCCTCAAGCCGAGGAGATATTGAAGATATAACAAGGTAGCGACATATGTGCACTGGAAGATATGCAAGAAGCACAAAATTGAAGCCACTGAGAGATGGTATGAGCACCAACCAGACTCAGTTACCTAAAATAACGATGCAACTATTCTCTGTGACATGTCACTTCGAACTGACAGGGAAATAAAAACCAACAGACCTGATATTATGATAAAACACAAGAAATTCAGGAAGTGTATGCTGATTGACATAGCAGTACCATCTGAGACAACACACCTCCATGAAAATTATTGAGAAATTATCCAAATACAAGGATCTGGAGATAAAGGTTAATAAGATATGTGAATGGAGACTGAGACTGTACCAATAGTAATCAGAGATCTGGACCTTGTATCCCGGGTCACATCAGTATACAAGTTGCCCAGAAGATCGCCCTACTAGGAACATCCCATATACTAAAAAAAAAATCATATCAAATAAACGACAGTTCTCCTATAGAGCCTAAGGACCATAGTTTGGACCCAGTTCGACAGGATACAAAGCAGGAAACATGATATACACAAATAATAATCACCCAGACATCGTGATTAGAGACCATAAAAACAAAATGTGCCTTCTTATTGACATGGCAGACCCTGGA